CACCACATCACCTCATCCAACCCAACATGGTGTGACGGAAGTCAATAACAGCACAAGAGCTTGATATTCAAGTAACTGAAGCAGTACTAGGAATTAAGTCTGGTAAATTTAAATCTGCATATCAAGCTGCAAAGGTCTTGGGGCTTACAAAGACCACTGTCACTAAGCGGCTAAATGGAGGCTTAACGTGTGTAGAAGCACGTCAAAAATAGTAGTTATTATCAAAAAACCAGGAGAAAACCCTCTTAAAGTGGATTAAAGAGCTTACTGCAAGCGGCTATGCTCCTAGCCATCGCATATTATGTGAGGTTGCAGAGGAAGTCCGGTCAAACAAGTGTCAGGTCTTCCTAACCCAGTGAGCTAACCTGTGGAGTTGACCACCTCAGTCAAGTCAACCACCAACCCATCAAACCTGCCATAGACTGGCAGACTCGGCTATTTCTAACTAGTGGCTTGGCAGACCCTATCAAACTGACCGGCCCAGCAGCAGACCCAACTGATCCAGCAGACCTGACTGACCCAGCAGACCTGACCAACCCAGCAGACCTGACCAACTCAACAGACACAAACTCAACAACCACAACTCCAACTACCTAAGTTACCACTTGGGCAAGATTGGGTGCCACGGTTCATTCAGAGGCATCCTAACTTATGCATTAGTTAGGAAGGAGGGTTGAGGCACAAAGGATGAATGGGGTTACAAAGCATGTGTTGAGGGGGTGGTTTGACGCATACAAGAGCCTCACAACAGAGCTAAAAATCGAAAACCACAACACCTACAATATGGATGAGACTGGATTTTCAATTGGAACAATGCAATCAACAAGAATTATCGTGGATTCTACACTTAGGACGCGTTTTCAGGCACATCCAGGGAGGCAGGAATGGGTCTCTGTGTCATACTGACATTCGTTGCACTCAGTTTGCTATCAAACTCGAAAGCAAACTTAGAAATCTCCTCCTCAAACCTACAAATCACTATACATATTTTGGCTTGTCACACCAACAACAAGAGCAATACTACTCAACGATTGCTACAACCCTCTATGATTCATTACACGTCATTGCTCCTTAGTTACTAGGCCGATATGACCACATAGCATATCTCTACAACCCTCTATGATTCATTACTTGACATCACTCCTTAGTTACTGGGCTAATACTACACATGACATATCTATATCAACTAGAGGCCTAGGAACATGAACGATAGCTCCAAAAGCTTCTACAACCATCTATGATTCATTACACGCCATCGCTCCTTAGTTACCCACAAGATTGGTTAAGTTATCACATAATCTGTCTATAGGGGTACTCTGACCTTGGACCTCCTTTCACTTCCTATAGGCTAGGAACCTTGGTTCTATGGGATTCTCTTATGTCGACTACAGTTACCAAGCCTGGTTAGTTATGGAAAGTCTTGGAAAATGAGAGAACTACACTCCTTTAGCATAAATAGGATTGCCCTTTCTGTTACGGCTACAGTAACATGACATCATGGTTACAGGGCCTGGGCCTAGTAACGTGACGTGTGAGTCACAGGGGGCAAGCGGGGTAGGCTGCCATGTGATGGGGCTAATGGATAGTTGCAGAAACTAGTGGATATTGGATAGTTGAGCTATCCACGAACTATCCTGAATATCTAGCTATCTGCCAACTATCCAGATTACCCATGAGGCATGACGCCACTATATAAGTAGATAGTATTTCCTTAGATAGGAGCTTCGTGCTCAACTCAATATAGTATTCTTTACAATACTGTAACGTGTTACTTGGAAAGCCTTTGTGTCTAATCCCCTGCCTCCTCTGTCAAGTCAACCTTACACAAGAAACCTCTGTGTCTTCTATCGTTTAGAAGTCAGCGTTACACTTTCCTTAAGAAAGGGCAAGCAGACAATACAGTAAATCGACTATGACATACTTCCACATCTTTTCCAAGCTTCCAAGCATTGGTCTTGTTACTCCTTGTTTCTGAAAAGTCAGTGAGGTGCTAACCTTTGACTTATCCCTGAGTTCTCAGACTCAACATTTGTTACAACTTGTCTAAACCACTCCACTACATCATACACCTGATTGCTGCATTGTGGAATAGTCTAAGCTACGACCCTTTGGCTCTTTTTCCTAAGACAGTGTGTTGTCTTAGTAAAATCATCCCTTCCTTGGGTGGCTAGATTCTCACATCTGGTGCACCCACCATTACACTCTGCTGTTGAGTGCATCTGTATGGATGGAACAACCACCGACCCCCTCATTATCTTCAAGGGACAGAATGTACTACAGAGCTGGATTCCAAAGACGTTATAAGCAAATGGCACTTCTCTGCAAATACAAAGGGATGTACAAGCAATCTTCATGGATTAGAGTGGCTACAACGCGTTTTTGAGCCCTCTACAAGAGCAAAAGCAACACTTCCAAATGGACAACTACAACAAATGCTCCTTATTTGTGATGGCCATGATAGCCATATAAGTGGGAGCTTTGTAAGGACACAGGGCACCCAGCTCATAGTAATAGCATATGAGAGTGCGAGTCGGAGGCTAAACGGATGCTATCCTATAGGTCTACTACGAAGAATACAAAAAAGATAATGAGGAACCCCGTTTGGTCAGTCCCCTTAAGTACCCGAAACGGGTCCGACTCGGCTAACCTACCCTAATGCTCCCCACGTGACTGTAAGCTGCCCGACTCTGATGCTTTCCATCACTGAGGGCTTTGGCATCCTTACACCTACAACAGACGTAGTAGAATGGCCAAGGACTCCAACAGAGCATAATATTTTTGAGAAAGTATTTTTGAATAGCAGTCCTCCTGATTTTCAGACACTTCACAAAGCAAATACAGTTCTCTCTTCTACAATAAGTCATGGTGGTGTTTTGAACGCTCCTACAAAGCGATATATTCATAAGTTAGCAGATGAGACAGAGAGGCTTAACACACACCACATACTACAACAAAGAGAGACAGATAACTTGCGCTCAATTATTCAGAAGCGCAGAGTATAAAATAAGGGCAGTTTTGAAGGGCCAATTCCACATCTCTACTGAAGAGCTACGGTCGCAAGTAGCAGAAGCAGAAGCAGCAACAGCAAAAGCAACAGCTTCACAGAGGTCTAGAACAACACCATGACTTATTAATGAAGCTACAATTGAGGAAATAGATGAAAAGAGTGAAGAAGAGCTATATGACAGCGATTTAGATGAATTGGCACTATAGTAATTGAATTATTTGCGATTTTTTGAGTTGGCAGTTTGGTGGTTTGGTGGGGTAGACCGCTTACGCCATTAGACCGCTTACGCCACGACCTACGTTAGTGGACAGGGGGGTTGAGGCCAGCAAAACGTATCGACTTAACGTGAATCGAGTATCGACTTAACGCGTCATGGCTGTAGGAATAGACTGGATTCAAGAGCTATCTACGGGGCCTACGCTACCTATTTGTAAACCAAGATGGGCACTCCGTTTGACCCTGGAATTGCCCAACCCCACGCCCGTCCTGCCGCTGAGCTTGGTTCTACGCCTAGCTCAGCCTAGCAGGTCACCTAGCTCCGACCTACCTAGCGAAGCTATTGGTGCCCGCTTTGCCTTCAGCGCTAGCGATGCCTGACACTGGCTGCCCTCCAGAACAGATAATTCCTTCTTCGCTAGCCCGTGGGGGTATGGTGGGGGGCCGCTTCTACAACAAGAATCAACTTTCATATACTATATCACGTGACATTAATATATCAAATCGTGATGGCATATACACTTGATTACGCCGTGCATAATGCCATCCACCATCACTCCCATCTACTATGAATTCATAAAGATAGTATTCCAGAGCACAATATCAGAAGGCCTATCTGACGACAGTAAAATCTTAGGGTCGAAACTAAACTACCGCCACGCTAAACGTGGCCGCGTGCTGCGCGGGCCGAGACGCGGGGAGAAGAGGGGTACAAAAGGGTCTAGTCCAAATTTGGCCCGTTTGATTTTGCTTACAGTGCTCTATCAGTCGAGGCCATAGGGATTTTGCATATAGATTATATTTATCCACCCTGGGGTCTTCATCGTTTTTATATTTACACCCAATATGTCTCTTCGGGCCAGCGATGATGCGCCACATGGCGGACAAGAGGCTGACCCGACCCCGGCTCCACAGGCAACATGGAAATCAACGTGGAATAATAATAAGGGACTGATCTTTATCGTCCTTGCTCAAGCTATTGCATCGTCTATGGATGCAATAGCCCGCTTCCTTCAGCAGGGCGAGCATAAGATGCACCCCTTCCAGGTACGTAGCTTGCCACTCGACGATGGACTGCCGTGAGAATAGTCGCTGATTGGATAACTAGATAATCTTCGCACGAATGGGCATGACGTTCGTTCTCAGCTCGCTGTACATGTGGTGGACGAAGGTGCCAGACTTCCCGCTTGGGAGGGCTGATGTCCGAGGCTGGCTTGTCGTCCGCGCGCTGTTTGGGTTTTTTAGTTTGTTTTGTTTGTACTGTGAGACTCACTTACCACACGACTTACCCCGGATTCGGGCCATTAGAGGATTGCGATGCTAATAACATATAGATTCCGTGCACTATCTCCCCCTCGCTGAAGCAACCGTCTTCCGCTCCCTCATCCCCATCGTCACCGCATGGGCCTGCTCGATCTTCCGTGGCGAGATCTTCAGCAGCCGCGACCTTCTTGCTGGTGTTGTTGCTCTCGTCGGGGTCATCTTTATCGCCCACCCCTCCAGCCTCTTTTGGCCCGCCGCCAATGATGACATTCCCCGTCCCAGCGACATCGACCACGTCTCCCCCACTCAGCGCCTCCTCGCCATCACCGCCTCCCTTATCGGCGTCCTCGGCGCCTCAGGGGCTTACACCATGATCCGCGTCATCGGCACTCGCGCCCATGCCCTGATATCCGTCAATTACTTTGCCGTTCTTGGCACGTTTGGTTCTGCCGCCGCCGTTCTCGTCGTGCCGGGGATGTCCTTTACGATGCCCCACGGGGCCCGCGAGTGGGTCCTAATGGTGCTGCTGGGTGTGATTGGCTTCGCCCTGCAGTTCCTGTTGACGGCCGGGCTGCAGCTCGATCGCAGTAGCAAGGCGACGAGTATGTTGTATACGCAGGTGTTGTTTGCGTTGTCTTTTGACTTTGCGATCTGGGGCGTCTTGCCGGGCGGGTGGAGCTTGTTCGGTGGGGCGATCGTAATTGGGAGTACTCTGTGGTCCGCACTGTCGAAGCCAAGCAAGCATGCGGCAGCACCGGCGAAAACAGTGGTGGTTGATGAGGAGAGCGGGCTCCTTGGCGGCCAGCGTGGGGAAGATGCCGTTCAGACGGCACAGAGGAGAGCAAGTATCAGTGTCTGAGAACGGACTTGATGCGGAAGATACTTCGAAGACTGTGTAGAGTGGATTCTCAGAGTTTGAGGGAGCTTGGCCATGGTTGTCTCGGCGCCAACCATGTTGTGATTTTGATTCGTTATGATATGATACCATGGGAAACATGACGTGATAAAGGCATACGGCCCACGCCTCATGAGCATGAGCATGAGCATGAGCATGAGCATGGAGGAGAGAGGGTTTTTAGGGTTACAGAGTGGTTCATATATGTGCGATTCTTCATTATGGGACTCGTCGCTGTCTGTCTGTCATGTCAGCGGTGCTAACAAATACACCACTCAGACCAGACACTCTGCCATAATTAAGACAACGTCACAGACACCGCAGACAACACAGACGCTAAACCCCATGAGCCACTAGTGCTCCCTAGAGTTGACTAGTACCGTCATATCCAGAGTACCTACAGTACAGCGACAAAAGTATTCGTATGGGTCTGTGCTTTTTATCACACAAAAAGACACTCGTTTACTGCAATTTGAGCACAGACCCGTACGAATACTTTTGTCGCCGTACTGTACTCTAGGTAGAGTAGCTTGTTTGCCCCTCGGTTGTTACAGAGATATGAGCACTAGTCATCTAGTCTAGTCTCGTCTAGTTTAGTCTAGTCTGTCTAGTCTCATCTAGTCTGTCTAGTCCTCTCTTGTCAGCCAATCACCAACCCGCAATATCCAGAGCGTGCCTGATTGGCCAATATGGGCTTTTCGTTCCTTCTCGCGTTGTGTCGCCGACATTCCCGTTCACCGTTCACCGTTATCCATCGTGCCTTCCCTGCCCAAACCCGCCACTCCGCTGTCTGTTACCCACCCGCCTCCCATTTCCTGCTAGCGTCTTTCCCGCCCGAACAGCTTCCTTTCTTCCTCTTTCGCTCTTTCTTTCTTTCCTCCCTTTCCTCTCCTCCTCTCTCTCTTCTCCCCTTCTTCTCCCTCTTCTCTCTCCCTCTTTCTCTCTCCATATTCCACATCACTTCACTTCACATTGTAGTCCCTTGATCTTCATTGGAACCAAGCGTATCAATCTGAGAGTATCAATTCTGCTTTCGACTCAATCTCAATTCAGCTCTACTCAATCCCATCATCCTTCCCAAGTCCCCCTGCGCAAACATGCTCACCACCTCCATCTTCGCCCTCGCCCTCGTGGCTGGCTCAGCCATCGCCCAGTCCACCACCACGGGCTCCACGGGCTCCACCGCCCTCAACTTCACCTACCTTGACATCGCTAACGTCGATCCTCAGGAGGCTGGTGAGTTTCCGTGATACGCATCCCCCCACCAATTGATTGACTGACGCCCTCCCGCAGCTTCCTGGTGCATTGGTGAGCGCACGGGCTGCCAGACCCTTTGCGATGGCAACGCCCCAACCAACGACTGCGATACTGTACGTCCCTGCCACTCCCCATGTGGCCCCCTCCCAGACGCCCATGCCATCAAGCTAACCCGCCACAGCAAAAATTGACCTACAAGTGTCTCTGCGAGGACGGCTCCACCCCCGATCTCGCCAAGTACAAGAACACCCTGCCCGACTTCGTCTGCCAGGCCAACTTTGCCGGCTGCATCAAGGCCCACCCCAACGACGCCGTCGGACAGGGCAAGTGCAAGACGAATATCCAGGACACCTGCGGCACCCTCAACATCACCGACTACAACAAGGGCTCCGGTTCCGGGACCAGCAGCGGTTCTGGCAGTGGCAGCGGGTCCGAGACGAGCTCCCCCTCCTCCACCGGTGGCTCCGGCGGTGCCGGTAGCGCCAGCGAGACCACGGGTGGGTCGAAGCCATCCAGCACCTCGGACTCCGGCGCAGCTGCGGCTACCAGCAAGGCTGCCGCTGTGGCGAACGGTATGGACATCGGCGCCGGTGTCCTCGCGGCTGGTCTCTTCGGTGTCTTCGGCTACATCTTGTAAGCGTTGACGCGCACACATCACTGCTCGAGCGAGCAATGCTACTCTTCTACAAAACATCCGATCCCCTGAACAAACCGCCTGTTTGTCCTGGCTCATGATCCCTGAGCGATGCCGTCGTGTTTGCATTGCGATAACATCATGTTCTAGTGCGCTTCTTCTCGAACGTTGGACTGTTTTTCTGATGGTTCGGGGCTTTATTTTTACGGGGTACTTGCGTGCTGCGCGTGGCGCGATTTAATGATGTGGGGAGAGTCTTGATGGCTGGATGGATATGGCTTCATGACCGTATGTGGTGGGGGGTGAGCTGTGCATTCTGCGCGGTGAGTGCGAGTGTACTGATTGCGTGGCGTGCCGGTTTTATATCTGCGGTTGAGCGAATGGACGAGGGGATGTTATTGCTTGGAGGGTTATGAGGGAGAAAAGGATGGAGAGTATATACAGTTAGTACTCGCTAGTGGTAGACGACGAATTCTTCACTGGTTTAATTATGATATTGTCTTTGGTTCGTGATATAGGTTAGTGGTATAGCCATCTCGACGACAGCCACGTCGACGCGATCTCTGGAGATGAGCCTAATCTACGGCACGACGGATCCGATGCCACCTTTCCGCGGGATCCCCTGCCATCGACATCCCTATTCTATCCACTGTTGCATTTGTTAGGAGCATGCCATAAACACCTACACTCGTTAACTATAAGTATAAATAATAGTTATGCTGGATTCTGACTGAGTTGATACGCAACATCTCCGCCGTTCCTATGTGGCGTCATCGTCCAATGGAATCAAATCTTCTCACCTAAATAGAATAGAACCGACTCTTCATCTTTACGCCCTTTTATGTAATGCGCTAGATCTCATTACAATATATGGTGATTAGATCTAGTTGTATTGAATAAACTTGATATTGTTAAAAATAGCTATATATGTTCCGGCCCAACTGTGAGTTTGGCCCGCTCACGAGCTGGCCGGCCCAACTGTGAGAATTATCGACTTCCAGTGTTCGGCACGGATCGTGCATGACCTGAGCTGATCCGGATACTGATCCGGATATATCCTATCCGCCATAATTATGATCTATCGTACGATCTGAGGATATATCCGGATCTTACAGATAATGCCAAGAATAGCCAACAGTAGCCAAGGCCACATAATAGACGTAGAATTGATTCTGTAGACGATTACAATAAAAATGAGCGACTCGGAATTATCAGATTTGCCGTCAGATCATGAGAGCTATTCTCAAATAGAAGAGCCATCGTTACCACATCTTCCACCTCAACCTACCCCTATTCAGCCTTCAGTTGAAGTACCTCAACATCCAAGGGTAGTACTGCCACCGACATCGTCGAAGCTCTTCACAAAGGGCTTATATTTCGTCGGGAATTACTTGATACTCGGCCTCCGACCATAAAAATGATATGCCTACAACCAGGCTGTGGATATTCACTACTGCCACAAGGACTAAAGCAATCGTCGACAGGTAATCTATAGAGGCATTATTCCTTAAAGCATCTAACAGTATCATACGCCCTAAAAATGAGAATAGACAGCCGTCAGATGCTTCGAAGCATGGAGACCAGAAGTTGAGGGCACAGCAATGCCAGTACAAGTTTTGTCAGACCACAAGAGTCTTGAATATTTCATGAGCACAAAAAAGCTTACTAGGTGGCAAGCTCGATGGGCAGAATTCCTCTCTCGATACAATTTCCAAATCATATATCGACCTGGCAAGCAGAACAGAAAAGCAGATGCGTTAACTCAAAGACCAGGAGATAGACCAGAAGGGAATGAAGAAGATGACCATCAAAAACAACAGCTTCAAACCCTATTACCCCTTGAGAGACTCCATCCGGATCTCGCACAGCAGCTAGAACTCAAAAGTCAAGGGCAGGCACAAGATGCTCAACTTGCACCAATCCTACCACAAGATCAAAGCATCCATGACCAGATTCAAGCTGCGCAGCTCCAGGATGAATTATGCAAGGATACAATCCGAAGACTACAGAACAACGAGCGAGATAGCCCAAATATAGCCTTAGCACATTGCGATGAGAGAAATGGACTCCTACTCTACCAAAATCAAGTTTGGATCCCAGAAGACGTTCGAGTTAAACTCCTTCATGAGGTTCATGACCAGCCAGCAATGGGACACCCTGGAATTGGGAAGCTGATTCGAATCATTAAGAGACAGTACTACTGGCCCCGGATGGATAAGACTATCACTCAATATGTGAGGAATTGCCATACCTGCAAGAGATCAAAACCAACCCGGGATGCATACAATGGACTCCTACAACCAATCTCAATTGGGAGCCAACCATGGAAGGACATATCACTCGATTTTATTACAGGATTACCATTATGTGAAGGAAACAATTCTATCCTTGTAGTAGCATGCCGACTTACAAAAGAGCACCATTTTATCCCATGCTTTGCAGGTAAAGAAGGAACTATAGCAGAAGCTACAGCGAGATTACTACTCCAGCATGTATGGAAACACCATGGTTTACCAAATTCCATCATCTCAGACAGAGGGCCCCAGTTTGTAGCTGTAGTGTGAAAAATCCTCTGCAAAGTTTGGAAAGTTACAATCAAATTGTCTACAGCCTTCCACCCAGAAACGGACGGGCAAACTGAGAGGTTTAATGCAGAACTCGAGCGATATTTACGGGCTCATGTCAACTATCTCCAAGACAACTGGGTTGAATATCTTTGCATGGCTGAATTCGCAGCAAATGCCCTTCCATCAGACTCAACAAAAGTTAGCCCATTTTTTGCAAACAAGGGTTTCGAGCCAAGAATGAGCTTTGATATAGAGGATAGCACGTTCCAAACTGCCCTACAAGAACATAAGGACATAGCTCAAAACATGAAAGATATTTGGGAATTCCTACAAGACCAGATCGCCCTCTCACAAACCCGAATGGAGCACTTTGCAAATAAAAACAGGAAGCCAGCACCAAGATATAAGATAGTAGACCGAGTCTGGCTTTCTACTCGGAATATCAAAACCCAATGACCCTCAAAGAAACTTGACCATAAGCAAGTTGGTCCATTTCAAATCCTTGAGCAAATTGGGAATATTGCATACCGACTCCAGCTACCACCAAGCATGAAGATACACCCTGTGTTTGATACCAACCTCTTACGACTTGACTCAGATGATGCTTTACAAGGCCAGCACCATGAACCACCCCTGCCAATCATTATAGAAGATGAACTTGAATGGGAAGTTGAAGAAATCCTAGATTCTAAACTCCTACGGAAGAAGCTGTTCTATATGGCCGCATGGAAGAACCACCCACTAGACAACACTTGGTATCCTGCTACAAACTTCAACAATGCACCTGAACTCACACAAGCTTTCCACTGAAAATACCTGCAGAAGCCATGATGATTTTACTCTTGACCAGGAGATCAATCTTACTAGGGGGGTTAGTGTTATGATTACAGCTCACAGCTTGTCACAGCTTATTATGGTTGTTAGGGTTGTTAGGGTTGTTAGGGTTGTTAGGGTTGTTAGGGTTGTTAGGGTTGTTAGGGTTGTTAGGGTTGTTAGGGTTGTTAGGGTTGTTAGGGTTGTTAGGGTTGTTAGGGTTGTTAGGGTTGTTAGGGTTGTTAGGGTTGTTAGGGTTGTTAGGGTTGTTAGGGTTGTTAGGGTTGTTAGGGTTGTTAGGGTTGTTAGGGTTGTTAGGGTTGTTAGGGTTGTTAGGGTTGTTAGGGTTGTTAGGGTTGTTAGGGTTGTTAGGGTTGTTAGGGTTGTTGGGGTTGTTGGGTTCAGATCTTACCCATCGCACAGTTTGCATATAACAGCGCGATGACAGAAGCAACGAAAGTCTCACCGTTCTTTGCCAATTATGGCTACCAGCCAGAAGCATATAGGCAACCAAGACCGGATGAATCACGAGCTGAACAAGCCCTGATCGTGGTGGAACAACTGAAATCGTTCCACGAACAACTTGCGACGGACATCCAATTCTTAAATGAACGATCCGCCGCATACGCAAACAAGAAGCGCAGTATGGAACCTGCCTTCAAGGAGGGGGATAAAGTATACCTACTCCGGAAACATATCAAAACGAAACGACCAAGCACAAAGTTGGACTTCAAGAAATTGGGACCATTCAAAATATTGAACAAAGTCAGCTCAGTTAATTACAGACTGCAGCTACCCAGGAAGTCTAGACTACACCCGGTATTTCATGTCTCACTACTGGAACATCAGCAAGGAACTGCTGGAGGAATATCGACGCCGCCATCCGCCAGCCATTGATCCCAAGATGCAGGGGAGTAGGCCAGTGGATCGGAGGAAGCGGGGGTCCCGGTCACAGACGAGGAGGCAGCGCTAACTGCCTGTTCCTCGGCCTCAACAGCGTCACGCTTCTCAGCAGCCACACGTTCGGCCTCCTCTGCCGCATCAAGCTCGTCGAGGGTTTTCAAACCTCGCCGGAGCATATCTTTACCACGGGTTCGGATGAGGCGTTTCTGCTTCCGCAGACGAAGTAACTTCGAAAGGGTTTCTTCCTCTTCGCGATCCAGGCGATCCTCCTCCCGTTCGAGCTTCACCCAGTCGGGATGCTCAGGACCCATACAGTCACACTTTTCTTTCAAGTTGCGACGAACGCACTCGGCGCACCGCCGTGAATCATTTGGAGACGACACGCAAGTAATGTTTCGCCTCACGCAGTTCGAGCAAGAATCCATTTCGGGTAGTTCGTATCCGTGGTTCTTTATTCGACGGACAAGATCGTTGCGTTCCTGGAGTTTGCGGGCAGTGTCAGTAGGCATGTTGCATGTTGAAGGACTCGCTGAGGAGCAGCAGAGTCCCGGGGACATGGACGTACTTATAGGATTCGAGACGAATGCCCAGGGGAAGGGAGCGAGTGTTACGACGGAACAAGAAGGCTGGCCAACTACAGGACAGGAAGGAGGGAGGTCGCATGAGACCGGCCCTGGTACCTGGAGGGGCAGCGGGGAATAGTAGTTCCGAAAGTATCACGTGACGGACTCGCAGGATGATGAGAAGAGTCCTAAGAGTCCAGGACTCCGAGGACTCGAGTGAGTTCCCAGGAGTCCACTAGGCACGTGATGGACTCGCAGGATGATGAGAAGAGTCCTAAGAGTCCAGGACTCTGAGGACTCGAGTGAGTTCCCAAGAGTCCACTAGGCACGACGCCACTATATAAGTAGATAGTATTTCCTTAGATAGGAGCTTCGTGCTCAACTCAATACAGTCTTTGTTATATACTAGTAACGTGTTACTTGAAGCCTTTGTGTCTGATCCCCTGCCTCCTCTGATAAGTAAACCTTTACGCAAGAGAACCTCTGTGTCTTCTATCGTTTAGAAGTCAGCGTTACAGGATCGTCGATGCGTCCGACCCTGAATCGAGGAGGGCCTTGGCCTTGTGCCAGGTCGGCCCTACCTGTAGCTCCACGTCGATTTCTATCCTTTTTCTAGGCGTAAGTCGTGGAGCTCCGGCTGGGAGTCACTCCTTCTTCTGGATATCCAGTTTCCTCACCCCAAGGCCTGTATATTGGCCCTGGCTACGGCATTCCTTCGCGAAATGGCCTGCCTTGCCACAGTTGTAGCAGCTCCCGCTTGGAGCTGGCCTTGGGTCCCTGCTCTGGGTAGGTGTCTACCCTCTTGTTGTAGGCTGGTCTAGATTCTGGCGTCTGTTCCAGGGAAGGGTTCTCTCTCCTGGGGTGGTGGACCGAGATCCCCGGTTGCTGCTGAAACTGCCCCTTCGGTTCGGGAAGTTGCCCCGAGGGGAGCTTCTTCCCTCCTTAGGCTTGTCTGAGGTAGGAGCCTTCTCTGTGACCCAACGGTTGGTCATTTCCAGCATCGCTAGGATATTGACGACAGCCTCCCTGTGGGTCGAGGAACGCTCGGCATACCCTCCCTCAAGGAGCCGCTGCCTCATATCTGGGTGGATCTTCGTCAGGAGGTGGGTGGTCCTTTGGGACTCGGTATATGGTTCCATTTCCCGTTCCAATTTCTCAAGGTACGTGACGAACTTATGGATACCCTGTCCCTTGCGCTGGTGGGCACCGTTATACTTAAGGGCCGCAATACGCTGTCGGTTAGCTGGGTCAATGTGGAGGTCGTGGAGGAACTCCTCGAACCCAGCGATATCCAAGGGGTCTGCAAAGCCCTCATCCTGGGAGGCGCAGCGGTTGTCCCATTCCTTCATAGGGTCGCCCTCGAGGTATTGGGCTGCGAAGGCCACCTTGGATTGTTCAGTCGGAAACATCCTAGGCTGGTACTGGAAGGAGGCGCGGATTGAGACCATGAATTCGTTGAGCTCCCTAGCCGACTCGCCCTTGTAGACCTTGGGGTCCTTGACCCTTCCGAAGGGTCTGTGGGCTGGCGTCGTCTCTGTCAACAGAGTAGAGGCTGTTTCCTGGGCTTCCTCGTCCGGAGGATTCTCCCACTCTTCCTCACTGTCCTGGTGTTGCCTCTTCCGGCTTTCCTCTCGTATCCGGGCCTGCCTTTCCGCGAAGAGCCTCACTTCTTCAGGGTAGGCGCTATAGTCTTCGCCGTGCGACTGTCGGAATACTTGGAGGGCCTCTTCCATGGTGTTGAAGTAGGCCTTTTCCTCATCTATTCGTCTCCGGAGGCTAGCCAGCTTCGAGGCCATCTCCTCTCTTGGGCTGTCAGCTTCCTGTGCTATAGGCCTCGGGGCAGGTTCTGTTGGTTCCGTCGAGGGTGTCGCTCCTCTGGAGGTCGCCCAGGTAATCCTCTTTTCCTGGCTTGCCATCCTAATCTGGTAGGCTGAGTCAATAGAATTGTAAAGGCGTAGGGCCCAGGGTGTCATGGGAGTTCAGGGAACCAGGTCAGGAGGCAGGAAGTAAGGGTTATATTGGTGTGAAGCACAATAGGTCTACGCTGATACAGCGACTATTGACTGGAGGCCTCACTCCGAGCCTCCAGCCCCTTATATACAGGAACCCGTAGGCCCTAATTTACCGAGCCCGCCAGGTCCACTGTAAGAGCGTGGCACCTCACGTGCCCTCACGTGAGGGCCGCCTTACACCGTCTCACACTGCGGTAGGCTGTTGCTTTCGGAGGGGGTCTCGGGCTCCGAACCACCAGCGACTTGGTGGGGATCGATGCCTTTCTCTTGAAGCAACGCTTCCTAACGCTTTAACCGTTCGAGGACCCGCTTTTCTTTCGACAATCCTTGTTTCCTTCAAGGCGGCTTGGGTGGACGGATAATACATGGCACATTGTGTCTAACGCAGGCACCACATGGATTCTGTCTATCGCACCCGACCTTCCGCTCGGAGCATCGGACGCAGGCAAAATTGCCTTTAGTCATTAGTATGCTCGATGATGCTGCTGGGGCGTTCATGGTGAGCGGATGACTACGACTATGACTGCAAATATTACAATGTTTGTTTAGTATCATAATTGAACGAAGAGAAGTCGTCGGACAAAAGTGACGAAGTCAACTCCGATTGGTGGGATTCTTGGACTCGGAGCTCGGACCCCGAGGTTCAAAATCCTCGAGCCTTTTACCAAGACTCATACCATACACAGCTCAAGTCAAAGGTGGTAATACTTTATACTTATAATTCCTATTAGATGTAAGGTATGGCTAGATTTGCCGCCTTGTCTTATAATTTGTTGTAACTAGATAATTGTTTCCCACCGAATATAACAATATATATTCTTCGCCCCAACGTGTACGAATATTTTATGATAATTTCAACAAATCAGATAAATATTTCATCTTATAATTCGAAAGCCAATTGCCAAATGCAATGCCCAACCTCAAAGTCCTCATCATCGGCGCCTCAATCGCTGGCCCCACGGCCGCCTACTGGCTTTCCAAAGCCGGCGCAGACATAACCGTCATCGAACGCTTCCCTTCCCTGCGCACCAACGGCCAGAACGTCGACATCCGCACCTCCAGCGTAACTATCATGTGCAAGATGCCTGGGATGGAGACCAAGACATCACAGATGGAAGTAATAAACTTTTGTCCTTGCAGACGGCAGTATATATGCGAGTATAAAACCAACTGGAAACCCCGAGCAACAGTCTTCGTGTCAGAATATCAGATCTTACGGGGTGACCTGTCGCAAATCCTGTTTGACCTGACGAAGGACAATAAGAGTATCAAATACGTCTTTGGTGCGCAAGTGGCGTCGATGCGACAGCAGATAGATGGAAAGGTCAACGGTCCAATCACAGTTGAATTTGCGAATGGCTTGGCTACAACGGAATATGACCTTGTCATCGCCTGCGACGGGGCTACCTCGCGGACTCGCGCTATGGGTCTTGGCTGCGGCTCTGGGGATTATGTCTACCCTTGGTATCCTTCTGCGATGCGATGAAAAAAGGCGACTATGGGCTCAAACAGTTTGTCGCCAGTCATTATGAGGGTGCCAGCTGAAAGACCGAGGAAACCATGAGGTGCGTGTTTTATTCCACGGACTTCTACGCCAACGAGATCGTTCAAGTCAAGAACCCAAGTCTTCGTAACGGCCGTTTCATCCTGGTTGGCGACGCAGGCTATGCGGCGGGTTTCACAGGCGCCGGAACGACTCTCGCCATCACAGGGGCATATGCTAGCAGGCGAGATAAACAATCATGCCGGCAACCTTGAAGCAGGAATTATGGGATACGAGGAGCAAATGCGTCCTGTGATCGCGAAGCTGCAAAAGGCGCCGCCACTGATCCGTACAATTCTTGCACCGCAGACAGCATGGGGGCTGTGGGTGCGGAACCGAATTTTTGCTTTCGTTGCGTGGAGTAGAATATTGAAGTTTACGCAGAAGTACTTTGCGAGTGCCTTCGCTAGTTCGGATAAGTTTGGGCTTCCCGAGTATGAGTGGGTGACGTGATTGGAAGAATAGACGTTAGGAGTATGCGCAAAACTTGTGCTGTATAAATAGTAGAAACTCCATATAATAAATAGTAAGAACATATTTCAAAAGAATGGCCCACTTCCTTATAATTTCCCCAGCTATCACGCTACAGCCCACAAGACGGTAAACAACTGCTTCATTTTCACATCATCAGCCAAAGCTTCACCACCACAGAACTCAGGCCAAAGCAATCTCATAAGTTCCACCCGGCAAATCCGCATACACAAAGGTATTACCCCCTTTCTCAGTCGGTGCCACCACGCCACTCACTCCCGTAACCGTATATCCCTCTCCTTTCGGTAACACCAATCTTCCACTCGTCCCTTGCGGCGTCGTGAAACTCCCCACTACCACCTCCCCCGAGGCCTCCCACTGGGCCTCAAACTCCCCAAGTCCCGTCTCATACCCCGCACTGATCCTCTTTAGCCCGCCCAACCTCGGATGAATCTCCCACGTCCGGCCCATCGCGCTGGTAAGTTGAATTCCCGCGCCAAAAAACGACAGCGCGGATGTAGGACTAGTCGCCCATCCATGTGCATGGCTGACGCGGGCGTCGTTGTCGTAGGGAGGGTAGTGAAGAGAGCCATCGGCGGAGTACCCTTCGATGAGGGAGGAATTTGTCATGCGCGGGTCGTCGAGCATGAAATCTGCCCACATGAATTCCATAAGGTCGATGGCGCGGTGCGCTGCTCCAGCAAGGTAATGGGCTTGAACCTCAAATCCAGATGCAAATGGTGAGATGGCCTTCCCTGCTTCTGGGGCAGGGGCGCCAAAAGGACGAACCCAGCGGTCCGCGAGGGCTTTGGAAATGGCGGATGCCCGGTCAGGGGTTACAAGGCCGGCGATGATGGCCCACGAATTTCCGTCCTGCGGGTGGACTGCGGTGGCTGATTTGTCCTCAGCATTGTCGAAGAAGAGGTTTTGGGATGGGTCCCAGAGGTTAGCGTTTAGGGCGGTGCGGATGCTGGACATGGCTGCGGTCCAAGTGGGGATTAGAGCGGTGTCGTTGAGAACATTAGCGAGCGTGATGGATTTCTCGAGGGTGTGGTAAAAGATTGAGTTTGCCTGTTGGGTAGGTGTTAGTTCTTGGGGGAATTTGACAGAGAGCTGGAAAACAAACCTCTCCGTTGTGGCCGCCCATTCCGGACCGGAGCCAATCGTTGGGGCTGTCAACGTTGGCCATTCCGGTGCTATCAATCAATCTGACCGTATTGGCAAGACCTAGCTTATACTGAGGCCAGTACTTTTCTAGGTACGCCAGGTCGCCCGAGTACGTGTAGTAATCGTACAGGTCAAGAAGTGTGTAGAGATGGTACGTAAAGCTGTAATCGAAGTGGCCCTTGAGGAAATAGCCGATTCCATTGTATGGTAATCGCCCACTCGCTTCCTGCATTGAAAATAAAGCCGATAGGCCATTTTTAACCCCATCAAGGCTGTTGGTTGACACGAACATCGATGGACCAGAAATTGCAATGTCACCAGGCCAGACAAGGCGATCCCGTTTTGCTCCATCCATGAGAACCGAGGTTCCCTCTATTAGGCATTAGCCATTCGTCTAATTCCCAAATACCAATATCCCCACGCACTGCTGGAATACGAAGAACCTCTCATAAAAGAGGGCAACTAACCTGACAACCTGCCATTCAAGTACCAATCCACCCCTGGCACATTCTGCGAATTCCCATACGCCGGATCCGAGGTGCATAGCTGGTTCGTGTACGCGCCCGCATACCACACACGATTCAACTTCTCGCTATCACTATTAAAGTACCCTGCATAGTCCTGTGCGTTCGCCATCTCGGGAGACGCCGTGAAGTTCACTGATAGCGAGTCAATGACCATCTCCCCCGTGGAGTTGTGCCAAAGACTCATATAGCGGAAGCCCCCGCGCTGATGCGTCTTATCGGCTGCATAGGCGCCGGCGGCACCAACAGGGAACCAGAGCGGGCTGTCGAAGGTAACGGCGTTGGCGGAGTCGCTGAGGGTGGTGCTGATCCACATGTTGCTCTCGGTGAAGGTGAACCCGATGAACTCGGCGTCGCCTGAGACGGACTTGACATTAAACTGTACAGTGCCAGCGACGTTTTTGCCGAAATCGATGGTGATGGCCGAGTCGCCGGTAAAGGTGGTGCCATCGTTGTTTTTAGAGGCGGTACAGAGGGCACCGGGATTCTCAACCTTGTTAGTGGTGTTAAGAAGGTCTCTGCATTGCACATTGCGGTCACTTGGAGCGAGGATGTACTCTTGGAACTTGACCGCAGAGACGCATCCTGAGAAAAGAATAGCGGGTAGTGCTCCCCGAGGCAGGTTTGAAAACCTCATATTGTTTGGAGACAGACGTATTTCGAGAAAAGGCTCGACATGAATAAAAAGGGTCCCGCGCGTTCAACAGGACGAGGTCCTGACCTATCTTATACCACCGTAACAACGTCATTACTCTCATTGTCTCCTGACAACCCCTCACCATCGTCCGTGCCCCTCCATGACGAGGCCAAGGTCAAGAAGTACAACAAAGAGAGAAGTGAGGCTCACCCGGTCCCCAAGTGTCCCCAAGTCCCTCTGGTTCGGGTTAATCAGCCCCGGAACCTGCAATAGGGGAGCGGAATGATGCGGACAGGGTCAGGAACGAGGACAGAAATGTGATATCAGAAAGCTGATTCACATGTCTGGTGTCAGATCGGCGGCATGACGCCGAGTGAGAGGGCAGGCCGGGGCCAATCATCGGCTTTGAGCCGGTATATTAAGGACCGAAAGCGGCATTCTGGTGTCTCCTGGATACAGCGTTAGCATGTGTCCCGTGAGGTGTCTGAGACATTACCAGCGGTGCCTAAGTAGTGAGTACATGCGAGTGTTCATGCTTTAGTATGGCATGGGATGCATGTTGGGGTATGCTATCCAATATCAGGATGCATACCATGTTTAATATGTCACAGGCCAACTACCGAACCCTACGTACATTCTCATAGCCGCCATCACGTCGACTGTGCCTAGGCATGCCCAGAAGTAACGTTGCACCCTGTCCTAATATAGACTAACGTCGGAGTCGGAGTCGTCGTGCGGTAAACTCTAAGCGGGTCACAACGGTCGATCGCTTGGCTAGCGCGCAGCCTCTATGCTAAACCGATTTAACTATTAGCGCCACATGCGTTGGACGGCTTGGCGTTGATATTGCCGACATAACGCGACGTCTATCTATTTACAGCGTCAGTTATCAACTTCATTGGCTCCACGATGAAATTCTTTCGCCAAGAGACCCATGGAGGGGTTGCCTGTTGCCGGTGATGCATAGAAGTAGGCACAAAAGCTACGCGCTGGCAATAGTTGTCAGCTGTTCAGAGGTTCAGAGGTTCAGACGTAGGGTAAGTGGGCGTTTGGGAGATTGATAAGGTCTATATGCATGAGAAGGTTAGCGAGACCTGGTTCAAGAGCATAAAAAGATTGCACGTTGAAAGAGGTGTGTCCTTTAGAACCCAACTTGAATTGGTATTCTTCGCCTTGAATATCGAGAGAGGACGATGTTGCTCTAATATATGGTTGAAGTGCGAGAGCTAGATTTATACTCATGATAAACGTGAATACCCCAATATAACATACAGGGATTGCCGATCACCACAAGCATACAAGCTCGCAGCTATACATACACCCCTACACATTACCCCCATATCTATCTACTACCCCCACGAACCGCCCCAACCCCAACCTTCCCATATATCGGCCCCCCTCCCTCATATGTCATCTCCTCCACACTCCCCCGCTAACCCTCGGTCCCACTGCTTCTAAACGCCGCACACAGCGCCGCATAATGATGCGTCAACTCGAGCACATTCTGCGGCAAACTGCTCGCCTGAATAATACTCCTCACCTTCATCGCGCCATCTTCCTCAATCAGCGATCTAACCGTCCACAGCAGCTCAGGCGAGAACTCCGAGTACCAGCGATACTGCCAGGTAATAAGTCTAATAACCGCCTGTACAGCATCCCTCGTGCGGTGCTGCTTCTCGTACCCACCCAATACCCCGCGCAGCGCCTTGGGGCTGAATCGGATATCGAGGCAGGCGCGGTAGGCTTCGGCAGCCTCGGGGGCGTGGTGCAGACGAGTAGCGAGGGCACCGAGGATCTCCCATTCCTCGGCGGACTTCTGGTATTGCAGGGACTGGGCGCGGTACTGGGCCATCTCGGTGCGCCAGATGGTGTAGATACGGAGGTCTTCGTAGAGGACCATGAAGAGGCTGTCGAGCCAGCGCTCGCAGAGACGTTTGTTGTTGAAGCGCGCGAGTTGTTCTTCGGTGGTGTCGGGCTGGGGTATGTTAGTCTGGGTTAGGAGTAGTGGGGATGTGGGGGGAGGGTAGGGGGGGTGTGTACATCTTCGTTGCCGGCTTTAACTTCTTCTTTGTGCACGGTCTGCTCGGGCTTCTCGAGGGCAGCACCAGCGTCTGAGGCAGTTTCGTCGGCATCTCCAGCTAAAGACCCGTTCGCCTCAGACTCTGCCTCCTCTATGCCATTCGCCTGTGGATCCGGCGTCCCCCTTAGCACATCCGTGCTCGGGTTGCGCTTCTCCTCCCCGGGCTGGCGATCGGTGCGGTATTCTTCCTCCATGACAAACACCTGGCTACGGATCTTGAGCAGCTGGTCCCAGCCAATCTTAGCCGTCATCTCTGTCAAGATGCTATATGCCTTCTTGAAGGTGCCTTTGTACTGCGCGGCGCGGAGGCCGAGCAGGCTAGGGTGGACCTGCTCGGAAAACTTGGAGTCGGGCTCGCTGTCAATCTCATCGAGGCGCGTCTCGGGCAGGGTGGGTAGGTGCACGTCCTTGGGCTCTGGCATCAACGGGGCGTCCTTGTCCTGGTACGTGAACATCGGGCATGAGTTGAGCGTCGTGAGCGCGTTCTCCCAGTCCTCCATTGCGACGTATACTTGTGCAAGGCGTGCCCAGGTGCCGAATTCGCTCGGGGCGGCGATAGTGCTGCGGTCAGCGCAACCAAGGGCCCAGGCAAGGCGCTCCTTCTTCAGCTCGGGGGTTGTCGGGTTGAGGGCTTTGTTCATGAGGAAGTCGGCTTGGGTGTCGAGAAGGACGTAGTCCATGGGCGACTGCTTGACTGCTTCGTGGAGGACGCGGACAGCTTGTACCTCTTCGTTGCCCATGATCATAACCTTCGCGAGGAGGGAGGAGACCTCGACATTCTTGACGCGCAGTTTCTCGAAGAGGTTAATACCAGACGCGAAGCGGCCGGTCGTGTGGAAGTATCGGAGGAGTCCGGCGGTGAGGTGGTTCGCGACGTTATTGGGAACTTGAACCATCGAATCCGATCCAAGCTGCCATCCTATAATCCAGTCAGCATCATCACATCGCTATCGCTATCACCACACAACCGTCCCCACATACCTCTGAAAAACAGCTGCTCCGCCGCGGCCAAAAATCTATGCTCCGTCTCCGTATTTGTGACAGGGTTGAAGCGCCTCACACCCATGATCTTGCGAATAGTCTCACCGCTTCCATCGTCGGCGTATGAGTATGAGCGCAGGACGCTGCACAGGTATGTCTCTAGCCAGAGTTCGTCGGAAGCAACGCGCTTGTCGCCACGCTCGTCGATGCAGTAGCTTTCGACGGAGCCGGGAATCGTGACCTGGACGCGCATATCAACGCGGGAGAAGGCATTGTAGCAGCTGGTATGTGTTAGCGTCTTCACCCTTTTGTCGTAGTTGTGAGGATGGGGAGAACGAACCAGTAAGTCCCCTCCACAATCTTCGCTACGGTCTTATCGAACACCGTATATGTGAGCGTATTAATATACGCCGCCAGACTTGCTGACGATGATGCATCCACCCCCATAACATGGTGATAGATCCCCGACTACCCCCTTCGTCAGCCCACGAGTCAAATTCCCCCCACAGTCCAGGGGGGTGAGGAAGGTGCATACCTGTCTCGCCGGGTTCCGTGGCGCCTGCTTGACCAGGTGTACTAGATCTGGGGGTCCAAGTTCGCGGAGGGATGAGAGCCCTTCAGTGCGCGCTTCAACACTCTCGTGCATCACCTCCTCCGTCAACCTAGGGGGGGGGAACGTTAGCATTGCTCAACCCAGCCATGGCCGCGCGGCGTGAGCTTTCGGCATCAATCCATCTGGATAAAATCCATGCTTGCCCTGCATAGCTGCATATGTCCATGCAGTACTGATGGCCGCTGTTTCAAACCGCACGCCCCTCATCATCGAAATGCACACAAAGGGAGTCGGAGTGAACCTACTCTGGCACCGCCGGCGCAACCATCTTCGCTCAATCCTTCGCCCACCCAAACAAACACAAACAATCCCCCCTAGCTCGTAATATTTCAATCGCTCCTGTCGCGCCTTTGGGATATATAATCAGCGATGTGCGTGGTTGTCAATTGACGTTGTTGCTCTTTGAGTTGGTTGAGCCTCAGGGACGGTATGGATGTGGATGTAACAGTAAGGTAGCTTTCTTTGCGTGGTCACCACAGTAGGTAGCTGGTACGGGAGTTGCCGTGGGGGAGGTTGGCCAATCATGTAGCGGGGTGGAGGTGATTTCGAGTCAAAGAGACAATGGAAGTTCCCAAAACGAAATTCCAAGGCGAGAATATTTATTTATTTTGTGGACAACGAGAATGTACGCGTGTATGTAAATTTTATATACAATTTAAATATGTAGTGGATGTATACACTTGTTCCCCTACTTCAACGGAATATTAACAAATATGACGCCCAAAACCATTGGATATATCCCGCCAAACACCCCCCCAAGTCCAATAACGCCTTCTAGAGCCCCATTCCACCACAGTAAATGCCCGAATTCAATCATCACCTCACATCTCCTGTCTCCCAGTGACGCTCTCCCTCCCGTCTGTCCTCGCCCACCCTTGTCCCCTCGCCCCAACCGCACTGCCCCCATCCAGCTCTATTGGCCCCACCGCCTGACCGTGCAACTCCCCACACTGCTCCCCTGGCCCCACCACCTGGCCGTCCAACTCCCCATGCTGCGCCGTAGGGGACGCCTGACCATGCAACTCCCCATACTGCGCCGCAGGGGACGCCCCATACGCTGGTGGCGGCGACGCTACTCTCGAACTGAGGGGACTGACAGGCACCGCGCTAGCCGAGACGAGACTCTGGGTGTTTGCCGACTCGTGCGGAGCCGGTGTGTTGGATGTCTCGGTGCCGCGAGCGGGTTGCGGGGTGTAGTAAGGCTGTCCGGTGCTGACGTACATGGGCTTCGCCGGGAGCGGGGCAATAGTCGGGTATGGCGGGACGTTCATCTTACTCTTGTTTCGGCTTCGTTTGAGGCAACAGTAACCGATGATGAGGGCAAGGAACGCGACGGCTCCAACGATGCCGCCGATGGCCGAGTTGCTGAGGGTCTGACTGGAGTTGGAAGAGGATTTTGTGTCGGTTCCTGCGGGGCAGGGGTTTGAGGTGCAGCTTGTACTGCTGGATCTGAAGGTGGGGGTGGGGGTGGAGGGTGTATAGTTTGATACTGTGCGTGAGGTTCTCGCGGGGTTTGTTGCGCTGACGACGGGGACAGACGTTCGTGAGATGCCTACGCCTACTTGTGCTGACTGTGAGGCGTTAGTGGTGGACTTTTGCGTTTGGTGTAGGGTGGAGGGGGACGTACAGCTGTGAGGATCTGGGAGGCGGGAACGTTCTGGTCTGCTGGGAGGCAGAGCCCGCCGGAGCCGGAAAAGGGGACTACGGCGATGAGGCCAGCGGAGCAGCAGAAGTAGCGCGGAGGCCAGGGCCAGGGATACATTTCCATTGACTGGTCCGCGCAGGCGGGTAGGGTTTGGAGTTTGTTAAGGCAGTCGACGGCTGGAAGTTGGTTAGGTAGAGTTGCAAACGGGTGACGGGGGGAGACAGACCAGTTGGACAGCAGTATGCGCCATAGCCGGTCGTGAAACAGGTCTCGCCGGTGGGACAGCAGCTGTTATTGCTGGTGTCGCATGACCGCGACCAGGCGCCGGTACAGGTGTTGGAGGTGGACCAGGCCCAGCCGCCGATGTATTCAGCACGGGGATTGATGGACTGGTCGACGCGACGGGGGATGGGCGCAGGTGGCAGTTGAGCGGAGTGAGCGGTGGTGAGGAGGAGGGAGAGGGCGGCTAGGGTTGAGGAAAGCATCGGTCTATTGCGGGGCGTGGGCGTGTATGTGAAGATGAAGATGAAGATGAAGATGAAGATGAAGATGAAGATGAAATATGGAAGGCTACCTTGTGGTGGGAGGCTGAGCCTATGGACACGGGTGGGAAAGGGGAATGGGTACTCGGTATTCCACCCACTCGCTTCGCTCGTAGGTGGCGACAGCGATCTGTGCACGCGACAGCGATATGTGCATGTACACCGCCACTTTGATACATAGATGAAATAATAATATTTGTCGTAACAACAACCCTCTACGATGCCTTTGAATAGCGATCCAAGTCGAGCTGACCGTCTTATTGAGGCCCGGCAGTTCTACTTGTAACAACCAGATACTTATACAATTACTTGGGTTGCCCGCAAGTTTAATGTCAACCGTGAGACACTCCGACGACACATTACTACCCCTCTCCTTCCCCGCGGGGGTCAAAACTGAGTTTTATCTCAAGAACAAGATACTGCAGTTTGTCAATTTATATATGACCAACTTAAGCGTGGGGTCCCTGCAAACTGATCAATGGTTTTACGGGCTGTTGCAGACTTGCAACCCGATTGTACGATCCCATCGCAACGGTGGTTACAACGCTTCCTTAAGGCACACCCTGAATTCCACTCGATTCATACGAAGACTTTAAATACGCATAAAAAGCAGGCACAAAAGAAAGAGGTATTTGAGGAATTTTTCCTTACATATAACGCACTTATTACAAAACACAACATTAAGCCATATAACTTATGGAATGTTGATGAGACTGGCTACATGATTGGATGTTATAAATCTACAGCTGTTATTGTGCCGATTGGCGTAAAGCAATGGACTGTTGATAATCCTGAGAATCGGCTCTCTGTTACTGTGATTGAGGGAGTAAATGCAAGTGGTACAGCAATTGCAGAAGCCATTATCATTCCGGGGAAACTTCATATGGACTCATGGTATAATGATAACCTTGAGCCAAATGCTCTTGTTATCGTTAATGAGAGTGGGTATTCAAACGACGACATTGCAATTCAATACCTCATGCATTTTATTCAATATCTGCAGAGCATATGTCACTGTAATGGTGGGTGCACCAGATGTGAGAATCTAGCCACCCAAGGAAGGGATGAATTTACTAAGACAACACACTGTCTTAGAAAACAGAGCCAAAGGGTCGTAGCTTAGACTATTCCACAACGCAGCAATCAGGTGTGTGATGTAGTGAAGTGGTTCAGACAAGTTGCAACAAATCTTGAGTCTGGGAACTCAAGGGTAAGTCAGAGGTTAACACCTCACTGACTTTTCAGAAACAAGGAGTAACAAGATGAATGCTTGGAAGCTTGGAAAAGACGTGGAAGTATGTGATAGTCGATTTACTATATTGTCTGCTTGCCCTTTCTTAAGGAAAGGGCAATCCTATTTATGCTAAAGGAATGTAGTTCTCTCATTTTCCAAGACTTTCCATGACTTACCAGGCTTGGTAACTGTAGTCGACGTAAGAGAATCCCATAGAACCATCTCTTAGGTTCGTAGCCTATAGGAAGTAAAAGGAGGTCCAAGGTCAGAGTACCCCTATAGACAAATTATGTCATAACTTAACCAATCTTGTGGGTAACTAAAGAGCGATGACATGTAATGAATCATAGAGGTTCGTAGGAGCTTTTAGAGCTATCGTTCATGCTCCTAGGCCTCTAGTTGGTAGAGATATGTCATGTGGTAGTATGAGTGATGTCATGTAATAAATCATAGAGAGTTGTAGAGATATGCTATGTGGTAATATCGGCCCAGTAACTAAGGAGCAATGATGTGTAATGAATCATAGATGGTTGTAGCAATCGTTGAGTAGTATTGCTCTTGTTGTTGGTGTGATAAGCCAAAATATGTATAGTGACTTGTAGGTTTGAGGAGGAGATTTCCAAGTTTGCTCTTGAGTTTGATAGCAAACTGAGTGCAACAAATGTCAGTATGACAGGCACCAGACGACACCCGCCTCCTATTACTCGACGGCCATGACTCTCATAAAATGGAGCGCTTTCTCACATTAGCAGAAGAGCATAACGTTGTTATTTGCTGCCTTCCTGCTCATACTACGCATCTACTACAACCTCTTGATGTAGCAGTTTTTAAGAACACTTCCATCAAAAGGCACTTGATCAAGCAGTACGTAGCTATGACTATGAGTATAAGCTACGTACGTTCCTTACCGACCTTCCACAAATCCGACGGCAATCCTTAACTGTCCGGACAATTCAATCAGGCTGGAGAAATGCAGGACTATATCCATATAATCCTCCACTAGTAATTGATAAAATACAAGAGACCCGGAATCAAACACCAGACTATGAGCCATTTGCTTCGTACGACCGTATCTCAACTCCAAAAACTAGTGTGCAAACTATACAGGCAGTTAAACATTGGCAGAAGAGAGTAGAGGCAGCTTTCTCATCACCGTCAAGAGAAGGGTTTCAATCATTTGCATGTGGAACTACAGTTGTTTTACATCGGGCTGAGCTCTATAAGACCGAGCTTGACATTGTTACCTTACGGTCAGCAGAGCAGAAAACAGCAAAGGCAAGGGCACGGAAATCGCTACAGAAGGGGGGGCAGTTATATGCATCAGACGCCCGACTGTTACGTGAGGAGAAGGAAGCAAAATTACAAGCAAAGGCAGAGGCAAGAGTAGCAAAGGAATCAAAGCAAGTAGTAAAGCAGCTACAGGTGCAACAACGGAAAATTGAAATCGAAGAGCGAAGGGTTGAGAGGAAGAGGGTAGCAGAGTGGAAGAAGGTTGGGTTAAAATCCAAAGTGATAATTTTTACGGTATGGTAAGGATCATAGTGATAGTAACATTGAGATTAGTAGCGACAGTAGTAGTGGAGATAGTGATAGTAGCTCTATTGATTTTATTATTTAATTATATAGTTATATAGTTGCTATATGAGGCTTATTTCTTTCATTTTGTGTGTTGCACATATCGCTGTCGCGTGCACAGATCGCTGTCGCCACCTACGAGCAAAGCGAGTGGGTGGAACACCGAGTACGAGTAGAGGGGTTACATATGAGGTGGAGATGCGTGGATGATGGCTAAATTATCCGAGGGGCGATTGGCAACAAGGATCACCCGGACACCATACGTCAAAAAATATAATGTGGGCGTAACCCAGGATGAAAATTATCATGTCGATTTAGCAGATCGAATAGATAAGATATAGTCAGGAACATGATGCCTATAATCATGTCGATGGCGGGGTGATGATATCCATGACGTCAAGACTGCTTCAAGATGATATTGAAAAAATACCTCCTTCCATGCCTGGCTTAAACAAACAAACCATATATCACAGTCTTCATATTTTACAATGAGCAAAGCCGAATCTTCTGCCACGTACGATGCTACCCTGGGTGGAGCTCTCACCACGAAGGACCAGGTCCTCAATGCTGGTGCTGCCACAATCCAAAACTTCGCCCCTGTTAACTCAATCTGCGCACACCTGAACGCCTTTCACGTCTACGCCTCCGATACCTCCCGTACTGTCGAAGCAAATCACTACTGCGCTCATCTCAGTGCCAACGTCAGACAGTGCCTAATCTATGACTCGCCGAAGAACCCCGCAAAGTTGATTGGAGTTGAATATCTGATCACAAGGCAATTGTACGATGCGTTGCCAAAAGAAGAGAAGAAGCTATGGCACAGCCATGACTATGAGGTTCGAGACCGAAAAAAAGGAAGGGGATATGTTGGCTTACAGATCTAGGTTCGTTCAGGGATTGTCATCATGCCCAATCCTTTGGTTCCCGAGGGGGTCTGGGAGATCGCAGAAACAGCTGAGATGCGCGAGGTGGTTGGCTTATATGGCAAGACTTTCCATTTCTGGCAGGTAGATCGAGGGGACGAGCTGCCCCTTGGAAAGCCAGAGCTAATGATGAGCTTTACGAGGGATGAGCAGGTGAGTCGCAACTCGTCAATATTAATTAAGCACATGCGAACCTGCGGCAATCCCGTTGCGGCGTCATCTTAAGAGGTATGATTATTACATGTGCTAATGGTTGTGCAAGGTACCATGGGATAAAGTCAAGGATCGAGACGAGCGCTTCGGAATTGACTCGACGAAGAAGCGGCACGCGAGGAATGATATCCCTCCCATGCCGCCTCATCAGGACGCGGATTCGTGTTGGAAGTAAGGCAGTAGTTGCTACATCGGTTGCACAATGGGTCGGTTACAATGTCAAGAACCCCTCTCTGTGCGCACTGTTAGACTAGTTCTGTACGGAGGTAGGTAACGTTGAGGCGGTCTTAGATGTTCAGTCCCAATATCACAGTCAGCTCCTTTGTAGAGGAGCTGACTTGGCTGGGGCGGATTGGTACGAGCTGTTTAAGCCTATAGAACTTATCTCTTTACTGCTATTTGTGAGTGACTTGTTGATTTATTGCAGTTTGGAGTGATTGGATGCCTGTATTTTAATTATAGTTGCTGTAATCGCGGCTGTTATACATAGTCCGTCTTTAGACTTTTGGGTTGCACGAGTCCTAGGTATCACATTAGAGCGATTCAGCAGTGTTCGACAGTCGTCGGCTTGACACTGCCTAATCCAGTGATGCCAAGCAGTACTAGAGTACTACTAGATTATATTAGTATTACAGCAATAGAATCCCTGTTTAGTACTTACCATACCTCCTAATTAGGCAATATCAAAAGTTTGGTGATATTGACTGTATTGATCAGTGTAGAAAAGTTGGATTATGATCGGTCGTTAGATAATTCTCCCCTTCCGGCCATACCCCCTACGGCGTTCCCTTTGTAATCCCCTATGTGACTAGAGCCCTTTGTTCCCTCTGTAAAATACTGGCCTTTGATAAATTTTTCTACTTCAGTAAGTGCTTTGGAACTGGGCGGGTGGGGGGAGTGATGATGGCCGCCGGAAAAAGATACATCGCGGTACGTCTATTACCATACCAATATATATGCAAGTGGAAGTACCTATATGTACCCTTTTGCGACTGCCACCACTGCAAATTACCCCTATTCGACCACCACTTTCGTTATAAAATATCTTTGCGACGTAGCTACTATATTGTGTAAAAATAAAGGAGGTTATAGTAATATAACCTAATATTGGATACTGAAGAGCTAGAGTTGATTGCTCTTACTGTTTGCGCAGCAGCCTTACTTGTTCGACGTCGTCACCGGCGCCGATATTATCGGTGGCTTATATGGTCT